TCGAAAATCAAATTTAAAAAAAATTAATTTATTGTTAAAGTTTATTAAACTTTTTCCCTGATTGAATTAATTATATTAATGAATATTTGTATTATCAGTATTTATATTACTGATTAATTTTTATTAATAATAATTAATAATATTAATGAACTATTGAAAGTAAAAACATGCAAATTCAAATGTAAAAACTGAAATTTTTTTGATATTAAATTAGCAAACATTTTTTAATATATTTTTTATTTATATTTTTAATATAAAAATTAAAAAACTGCAATTGAGTTCAATTAAAATTAATTTGTTAAATAAACATTTTCTTTCGCACTTTATTAAAATGGACAAGAAAAAAATTTATTGAGAAGAAACTTTTCCTTGAAAAAAAAAAAATCGCAAAGAATTTTCTTTTTTTTCATTACACAAACTTTCATGGACTCGACTCGCGTAAATTAAAGGAGAAGTCTGGATTAAGAGATATTTAAAACATTGCATTTGATATTCTGACCTGTCTCCTGAAATGCTACTCTGTCATGCGCATACTAAACTAAGAGGGTCAAATCGATGTACTTTTTTTTCCTGAAAAATCGTTATTTGGATCTTATAAAACCGGTAAGCGAATGGGTACATACAGGAGTTGAAAACTCACCTCGGAGAAAATTCTGTGTTCAAAAAAAAAATATATATATATATATAAATATATCGAATAAAAAAAAAGGTGTATTTCATCGCAAACAAAAAAAAATCAACCTGCATATTGTCACGAAAAAAATTCGAAATGCACCCTCTCTCTCTCTCATATAGCGAAACAAATTTAACGTTGATCGTTAATCATTAAAAACATAAGATAAAAAATACGATCGGGGGTCACAAAATATTTTTTTAGTTTGAAATTTTCTTCGATTTAAAAAGAAAATTTTTTTTAAAAATGTCAAAATTTTCAAACATCTTTTTCCGTAAGTAAAAAATATTAAATTAGCAAGCAAAGCAAAAAAAAAAGAAAAATTCTACCAACGGAAATGGAATTAAATTTTAAGAATCGACTAATAATTTATATTTTGTATGCGACCCGCGATGGCATTAGACACGATAAATGTTGCATGTTGAGTCTCATCGAGGTTTTCGTCGCACGGAATAATATAGAGAGAATCCCGCGTATACGAAATAACTTAATTCGACAGAATAAAAAAAGAGCAAAAAAAAAAAGAAGAAAAAGCAGATTATATAATGAGAAATTTTTTTTTTGCGGAAATAAATAGGAATGAAAAATAAAGTGTTCAAATTGCACGCAATTGGGGAATTAATATTGGAGTCTTTTTTTTTGTATAAATATAAGCGACGAGACTTCTTTATTAAGAATAATTATTATTATATAGAAAAAAGAGAAGAAAGATATAAAAAAAAGTAAACTACTAAATTTCATACCGAAATGCACAAATTTTTTTTTTTGCGACTTTATAAAATTCTATTCGCAAAAAGATGAACAAAAAAAAAATGGAAATATTTAATCGAAAGTCTTCAGAAGAACATACATAATATATGCTAATGAGAATGAAGAAAAAAAATTTATATATATAAAAGTATTACTATATTGCTAGGATACTATATGATACTATATCGCACAGTTATGCGAATGTTGCATTATCTGTCTGTTTGTTCTATGCAGGTCCAAATGTATTATTGTATCTGATGGAATATTATATATATAACGAAATATATAATATATATATTTATCCCTGAATTTATTCATCCCGTTCTGAAATTTATATTCTTTTTGAAAAAATAAAGATAAATTTTATTTTATTACTTTTCATTTGAATTTTAAATTTTTTAATTTTTCTAAAAACTTTTTTTCATCTTCAATTTATATTCTTCATTTTCAATAATATGAAATAACATTTTTCATTTTGTTGTAAATTTAGATTAGTAAATTTAATAAATAAATAAGTAAGAAACAAAATAGATAAATAATAATATATTATATACACACAACATTTATATTTTTTTGTATTTATATATTTTTATATTTATTTTATATTTTTTATGCTCATCTAGTTCTAAATTGTTAATATATATTCATTTTCTAAAAAATAAAGTTAAATTTGAATTAGTAAATTAAAAATGTTTAATAATTTGAATCAGTGACTTCATTTTTTTCTAAAATTTTAATAAATCCTTTGAAAAAATTCAATTATTTTTTTAAATAGTAAAATTCTTCGCAAGAATTCAATTAAATTTTTTTTAATAGTAAAATTCTTTGCAGGAATTCAATTATTTTCAAAACAACTTTAATTGAATTCCTCGGATGATTTCAAATATTTTTAAATATTTCCATATATTTTAATTATTTCCTGAAATTTTAATAAATTCTTGGAAACAATTCAACTATTTTTATAAATATACTAAAATTCTTTGCAGGAATTAAATTATTTGTAATCCAATTCAAATAAAATTACACGAAAGAATTTAATTAATTTTCAAAAATTTCCGTAAAATTCAATTTCAACATGAATTTAAAATTTTCTTAAAATAATTCAATTATTCTCAAAATATTTTTTAAAAAATCTATATAAAAATTAAATTACTTTCAATGCAATTTTTAATATACCTATTTGTCAAAAAAATTGAAAGAATTTAATTTATTTTTATAAATAGTAAAATTTTTCTCATGAATTCAATTATTTTTATAAATATAGTAAAATCCTTTGCAGGAATTCAATTCTTTTCAAAAAAATTTTAATAGAATTCGTCGAAAAAATTTAAATTTTCAAATATTAACATAAAATTAATTTATTTTCTAAAATTTTAATAAATTCTTCGGAACAATTCAATTATTTTTATAAATAGTAAAATTCTTCACAAGAATTCAATTATTCTCAATACAATTTTAATAAAATTCTTCTTCATAAAATTCAATTGTTTTTAAATTGGCTAAATAATTTTATTTAGCCAATGAAAATCATAAATATAATTATAAGTTTAATAAGAAAAATATTTAGAAAAAGATTTTTTAATTTATTGAAAGTATATTATATTGTAAATTTATTATAATCCTTGAATATTATATTTATAATTTAAAGCACAAACGATTATTTTCAAATAAAAAAAATTTTAATTTTAAAAACAATATTCTGCGACAGTATTTTTTTAAATATTGTTTAAAATTTCAAAAAGACTTTTTATTAATGAAAATAATTTGGCCTTTTGCAGAAATCGAACTTTTTTCGTAAAAAATTATTTTTTTTTGGCCGAATACAAAGTTGTACTGATTCATAATAGAATCTGGGAGCCTTAGAAGAGATTTTTTTTTGGGTCAAGCACCTCTAACACTAATAAGGTAAGAGAAAAGTCTGTAAAGAATCACTAAAAATAAATAAAATATTTATTCATTTTTTGAAATAATATAGACAATTTTGAAAAGAATTTAATATGCGAAAACCGACTCTTGACTTTTATGAAAATTATTCTCCTCTAAAGTTAAATACGAAAAGAAAAAAAAATTTTATAATTCGAACAAAAAATTATTATTTTATTAAAAATTATATTGTTACTATTTTATTTTGAAATAAACATTTTTCTTTCTTATTCTTCATTTTTATTATTTTTTCAATTTTATAATTTTTTATTTATTATTAATTTCTTTTTCTGATTTTATTAATAAAATTATAATTTTTTTTTTATTTCTAACATTATTGATGAAAAGAAAAAAATTTATTAAATTAAAAAAACATTCACATTACTTATTTTATTGTTAACAATAATTTATTAAATTTCAATTAATTTCTCAAGAAAGAAAAGGAAAAAGAAAACTTTTGTGGTCTCTAATTTTTATTTACACCAATAAAAATTTTGTTTCTTCCCTTCTTTTATTTTCATCTTGCAAATATTAAATAAAGAAAATGTTCTCGCGTTGGAATATAAATTGGCAAATAAACTTTTTTTTTATGCGCCCTGGCTTTTTTTTGAAATTTGAACCGTAAAATAAACAAACATATAGCTATGAATACTTTGTATAAATAAATAACGTCGGAGAGGAGAAATTCCTGTGTAAAATATTCGAAACTTTTCAAGCGTTCAGTTTATTTTTCTCATAAAAATTGTTTATTCAAAATTACTCGTAGCCAGTGGAAATTTAATGAATCTTGCATTAACTATAAATGTGTACTTTGGAGGGAAAAAATTTATATTTCTTCAAATTTCTTTTATGAAAAAGAATTTTTTAAAAAAAAAACTAATTAAAAATTGAAAAAACTAAAATTTGTTATATTTTTAGGTATATTGTTTATATTCTGTTATTTATTAAAAAAGAAAGAAATTTCGTTCTCGACTTTTATATTTATATTTACTTTTTATTTTTTATGGAAAATAATTTCTCTGCTTTAAACAAAAGCATCAATAGTAAACAAATTCTATTGTATTGCTGTTGATAATTAATTAATACTAGCAAGTATTTATTTTCAAAACAAAATTTGTTATGAATTTTTTATTCTTTTCATTTCTGTCAGTTTCTTTAGTTCCTTTTATTTATTTTTTTATTTTATTTTATTATTTATTTTTATTATTTTTTATTTATTTTATTATTTTCTTATTCGTATTTTATATTAAATTTAAATGAATAATCTTTATAACTAATTATTTTATTTATTATTTATTTATTTCATTATTACTGTTTTTTATCTCACTTAATTTTCGAAATAATTTTAAAAACTCCCGCCAAAGTTTTCGCGCCTGTACATAGGCAATGCGCTATACTGCGCGTACGCTGCAAAAATGAATTACATATGGCCGCCAACTGTTGACAGGTCATTTTTGTCATATAAAAACAAACATTTTTCGTGTAATATTTAACATTGAGATAAAAATTCAATAAAGTAAGTGAATTTCTCCCTATTATTGCTTCAAATTGCTTTGGTGTATTTAATAATTTTTGTCAATTTTGAGTCAGAACTCGGAATATTTCCGTGATCAACACAGTGAGTACAGATGTTTCCTAAGAAATTTCGCGCTCTTTCTAATTACTTATTGTTCTACAACTTTTGTCTAATTACCCTATTTGTTTTCTATTTTCTTTGTATTAAATTCATTATGTTTACTTTAATCGAGTCCAAGTGTAATTTAGAATTGATGGTTTGATTCAAAGGTACATAACCTATAAGACAGTTATTTTGTTTGCACGTTTGTTAATTAGGCTTAATTAAAAAACTAAATTTATACTTTACGTAAGATTGTAAGTGGCGATTCACTATTATATTCTTGTAACTGTTTATTTACTTTTTCTTTACTTTTATTATTTTTTATGATGTTTTGAGGTTAAGTTTATATTGCGACTATGTTGACTATTTTCGATATTATTGTCAAGACGTAGAATTTTTTTTGACTTTAAAATAAATTAGGACCACCATATAACATTAGGAAAAATATAGAAATTAAACTAGAAATTAATTATGTTGCTAGAAAACCTTAAAAATAATAACTGAATCATAAACATTAATACAAAAAGTACGAAAGGGAATTTTTTTGTCAGCCCGTTGATAGTAAATAAATTATTCCAATATTGAAAAATCAAATTCAAAATTTATAAAAATGAGGGATATTATCTCAAAATTTCTGTATTTCGCAGATGCCGAGTGTAAAGGATGAATCTGAACCCGAAGGAGAGGAGATCTCTCACGACAGCAATGACAGTAATCAAAGTTCAGCTTCCTGTGATAGTAGTGCAGAACACACTGACAGTGATGATTCATCTGAGATGGATGAGGACGAATGCGAAAGGCGGAGAAATGAATGTATAGATAATCTAGTCGATCTAGAAAAACAATTTTCATTCCTCAAAGAACAGTAAGCATTCATAAAAAATCTTTAAATTTTTTGTGTCTTTTTTAGTTTTTGTTTGCCTCATAAACTATGAAACTATCACCAATTGTAATACAAAACTTTCAAAACTTTTTGCTAATTCTGACCAGCATGAATTTTTTAATATTATTTAATTATTTCAAAAGTTTTAATGCAACTATCTTCATAAATAACAAAATTCTTTACTAAAATTCAATTATTTTTAGGAATTTAAAAAAAATTCTTTACAAAATTCGATTATTTTCATAAATAACAATATTTATCACAAGAATTCAATTATTTTCAAAAGTAATAAAATTCTTCGAAGAAATTCAATTATTTTTAAAAATTTGAACGAATATCTCGTCAAGAATTCAATTATATTTATAAATAGAAACATTTTTCGCCAAGAATTCAATTATTTCCAAAAATTTAAATAAAATTCTTTGCGAAATTTCAATTATTTTCAAAAGTTTTTGTCAATTCAATGATTTTCAATATTAACTATTTTCATAAAATTTATCAAATAATTTAATTATTGAAAAATTTTTTTATACAATTCTACGTAAACATTCAATTATTTTCATAAATGTTAAAATTTCAGTTACAAATTAAAATTTAAGAAACATTCCATTATTCAATAAAATAATAAAATTCGTTGCAATGATTTAATTATTTTCATAAATACTAAAAATCTTCTGAGGAATTAAATTATTGTCCAAAATCTTTATAACATTTTTCTCAAAAATTCAATTCTTGTCATAAATAATAAAATTCCTCGCAGTAATTTAATTATTTTCAATATAATTTTAATAAAATTTTCGAAAGAATTCAATTATTTTCATAAATTTTTAATAAATTTTTAAATAATTAAATTTCTGCAAAGAATTCTTTTTGTTTTAAATAATTGAATTCTTTCGAAAGAATTCAATTATTTTCATAAATTTTTAATAAATTTTAAAATAATTAAATTCATTTAAAGAATTTTATTATTTATAACAAGAATTTAATTTTTGATCATTTTTAAATAAATTCCTCGAAATTTGCAATTATTCTTAAAAATTTTATTAAAACTTGACGAAAGAATTCAAATTTAAGAAACATTCCATTATTCAATAAAATAATAAAATTCGTTGCAATAATTCAATTATTTTTATAAATAAATTTTCATTCGTCTCAGGAAATTAATTACATATTTTTAAAAATTTTTAAGTAATTCTGCAAAAGAATTCAATTATCTTGATAAACAACAAAGTTTCCCACATAAAATCAATTATTTTAAGAAAAATTTTAATAAAATTCATTTTCAAAATTCAATTATTTCGATAAATATCAAAATTCATCATAAGAATTCAATTATTTTGAAAACTAATAAAATTATTTCCGAAAATTAAATTATTTTCAAATTTTTTTTAAAATTCCCGTTAAGAATTAAATTAAATTTTTAAATAAATAGATAGCGAAAATCTTCTTAAGAATAATATTATTGTCAGAAATTTTAATAATATTCTTGGCAAAATTTCAATTATTTAAACGAAATTTAATCAAAATTCTTCGCATGAATTCAATTATTTTCATAAATTATTATTTAAATTCTTCTTAGGAATTCAATTATTTAAAAAAATTTAAATAAAATTCTTCAAAAAATCTTCAACTATTTTCAAATAATATTCTTATAAGTTATTGAATTGAAAAAAAGATTTGAATTTGAAATTTTTGAAAATCTTAACTCCTATGAAAAAATAACAATGATTAAATATTTATTTAAAAAACATGTTGTTGATGTTTTCGAATAATCTTATAATTAAAGAAATTCGTAAATAAATGTATTAGAACATTTTTCACAGCATCTAATCATTTTTATAGTGAATCAGAATATTCTTTTTGGTCAGGGAAAAAGTGAAAATTTTTTCTGGAAATCAGGGAAAAGTCAGGGAAAAACGAAATTAAAGTTTTGTGACAACCCTGAATTACAATTGAAATATAATTAATTTTATAATTATTAATTAAAAAAAATTTTCCCCAGGCTTTATCGCGAACGAATCACTCAGGTCGACACAAAATTGGGTGAGGTTCGCGTGGGAAAATCCGAGGAATATCTCATTCCACTCGAACGATTGAGGGAGAATATGAAAATAAAACAAGAAGTCGCCGATATTCTTAAACAATTTCGATTGCAGAATATTCAAAATAAATACGACGCCGAGGAGCAGGCTGCATTGCAAAATTTAAAAAGTGAAAAACAACTAATCTGGGATGCAATTCACAGTGATTTACAGGAGAAAATTCGTCGTCTCGAGGAGGACAGAAATAATGTCGATATTCACGCTGATTTATGGCAAATATCAAGTGGTAGACGAAGAAGAAATCACACCGATCGAAGAAGAGCTGTTTCCGTTACTGGTCCATTTATAGTTTACATGCTCAAAGACGAGGACATTCTCGAAGATTGGGCATTAATAAAGAAAAGTCTAACCAGTCGAAAGACGGAAATTCTCTAAGAATTCGAAAAAGAAAATCAATGACTGATTTGAAAAAAACGAAGAAAAAAAAAGAAATAGTGCATTAAGAAAATAAAATTTGTGTTTACGCGTGAAAGTGATAAAACTTTTCATTAGAGTGGCTCGTTTGTTTTGAAACGGAAGCAATTATCCTACCATTTTATATGGTAATATAAATAATACTTAACACTTATCTTTAGTTATATATTTTCACTATACAATTTATTCGAAAAATACTTTATTAATTGCAATAACAATTTTTCCTCTTTTTTAACCAATTGTAGCGATGAAAAATTCACTGACTGATTATATACCGACTTTTGATAAACTGTCGGTAATAAGTAAAAATCGATAAAGAAAGAAGAGCTAATTTTTTACTTATCTGTAATTGCAAAAATAATCTAAAAACCAAGTGAAAGATATTTATCCAGAAAAGAAAAATTGTCTATATATAAATGAGAAAATGTAAATACATTACAATGTAAAAAAAAGAGTTCAAGAAAATGAAATAAGAATTTTTTCCAATTTTTTTTTTATATAATCAGATTAAATGCAATTAAATTAAGATAAGAGAAGTTACGTCGTTCTCAAAATAATTTGAGAAAAATTACGAATTTTCAAAAGAAAAAAATTAAAGTCAAACTAAGTTTTGATTATTTATTATCGAATACGTTACAAGTTAAGATTTTCTATAGCGCTTTGTACTTGACATGAAAATTATAAATACGAGTGTAAATAGAAAATAAATATTAAGGATCCAAACTGAAAAGCGAGAAAGGATACTTTTAAATGTTAATTTTTATTTAGGCTATTTACAACACATACGTACAATACGTAATCCTTATTTAAAATTATGTTGCGCTCGACCGAAATAGCGCTCCCGTATTTATTCATAGTCCTCTGTTTTCTTCTTTTCTTTTTTGTTTCTTCCAACTTCTCCAAAAAATGTTTCAGTTGCTCGTTACCAAGTTCGTCGCTCATTTAATCACGCGAGCATGTGATATGTTACAAACTTTTAGGAACATTTTCACGAGCGATATTTTCTGAAAAGTCGCCAATAAATAGCACAAAGGAAACAATTCATTCGCCTAAACTAGCGAAACTTAAACAAAAATTATTTTAATAATTTTACCACTCAATTCAATCAAATTGTATATTTAATAGAATTCTGAAATTTTCCATTTAACGGTTTAACGATTGTTTAACTTTTTTTGGTTTTGCTAAAAGAATATTTTTTGTCGCTTAACGTCGACGCTGAATTTCTAAATTTAATTATTAAAAAAATTAGTTTTCTTTGTAAAATTAATTAATTGTAGGTTTTAATTTAATTAAAATTTCATTTTAAGAATAATTTTCGCTAATTTCCGCAAAGTGATTTGTCTTCCCGCGCATAAAACAATGCAGCTCTCTGCAGCTTTTTCACTCTCTCAAGTCCTTACAATGAGTAGACAGTTATCGCAAAGTGACACCAATATAGACAATTGTCGATTGGACAGATTCCAAATATCACGACAGAACAACGCCAGGAAAAGGACGATTTACAAGTATCAAAAAAAAATAATACAAATTGATAACTGAATAAAAAGCGCAAATCTAAAAAAATTAATAGAATCCTTAAACGCAAAAAACAGTGAAATTCCCTTAAAAATTAATTTCGATTAAAATTAAGTTTTACAATTTTTATTCTTTTCTGTCCTCCATTTTTTTTGCGTTCAATGAATCTATTTCACAATATTATTTTCTCATCTATTATTTTTTTCTCACTTTGCAAAAATTAAATATTAAATCCTGGCGTCGCAAAAATTTTGAACTGAAAATTATTCTCGAATTCATTTGAAAAACAACAAAAGCGTGAAAACAAAAATATCTATAACAGTTTATTTAAAGGTAGGATGCATACATTTTTTTTTAAAAGGACATTGAAAAATCGCATACGCTAGGATATCTGTTTGATTAATAATACTATATGTACGTATCTATCTCCCACGTTCGTTTATGTACAGCGTTTCTCCTAATACGAGCATCTCTCCTTTTTTTTATTATGTTTAAAATTTAACAAAACCGTTCTTTTTTTTCGCAGATCGTTGTTAAGAAACTAATGAAAGAGCGTGCAATTTTTTATTAAATACTTTCAGGTTTTAAATTTATTCGAGTCCTGTACAAGGTCGCATTTGGAAACGCATTAAAATTTTCCTCTTTTGGAGAAAAATAATTTCTCGTTTATTTGATATGGACAATAATAATAATAATAATAATAATAATAATAATAATAATAATAATAATAATAATAATAATAAATTCGAAATAATTATTTGAAAATAATTTATTTGGAAAATTAAAACTAGAAAAAAATTAATAACACTAAACATTAAAGTAAAAATCAAATTTGATTAGTAAATTAAGTCTAAATTGAATAAATAAATAATAATAATTTATTATAAAATTTTGAATTTCTATTAAGGCAATTAAACGGCGTCAATATTTCTGTTAAAAAGTTAAGGCTGAGAATTGCAATAATTTCATTTTTTTTAATTCACCATTTTGAATATGAACAAATCAGAAATGTATTTTCTTTAGATTCTTAAGTTTGATTACGATTTTTTTTTTTTTTTTTTGCTGTTTTTAATTCTTTATTGTTTAATTTTATTAATAATTGAAATTCGAAACATGCAAATTTTTTATTCCAAGCGTTCTTCAAGAGGAAATAATAATAATTACAAAAAAGCGATTTCTATTTAAATCTGTTTTCTAAAAAAAGTTTTTATAACAAGTTTTGATTTCTAAAAAATGTTTTTCTCAAAAGTTATGATTTCTAATATTTATTTTCCTAAGTAAAATTCCATAATTTTGATAAAACTGAGAAAATCGTTAAAAAAATTATGTGATTATGAAATAGAAACTATTTTGTATATTTTCTGATTCTCAATCACAATTCTGCTGACAAAATTATAAGTTTCTTTTTGGAAAAGAAGAAAAATTTTTATAAAATTATTATTTCTTATCACAATTTGTTAACAAATTTCTGTTCTTCTTTGAAAAAAAATAATAATTTGCATAATTTTTCTTAAAAAATTTCCAGAATTAATGTATTCAGAAAATTTTAAATATCTTTCGAAAAAAATCCTTATAATTTCTATTTATTAATTACGATTTTAACTAGATTATTTAAAAATTTTGATAAAAAATTTGCATAATTTCTATTCCTTATTTTAATTTTTTAACGAAATCTCAAGTATTTTTTTTTAAAGAATTAAAAAATTGTCGTAAATTTTATTGTTTAATCATAATCCTATTGATCGTCATTACAAAAATTGAATATTACCTTTATTGAAAATAGAAATTTTTAGAAAATTTATTAGAAGAACAAAAATTAGAAAATCACCTTCATTAGAAAAAAGTTTTTTAGAATTTCAACTTTATTAAAAAAAAATTTTTTTTTAAATAAAAAATTAGAAAATACGTTTTAGAAAAACTGTACCCCAACTTATTTTGAATATTTATTGAAGTCGTTTGATTTGAAATAAAAATAAATAGTAATTATTATTGATATTAGGTAATTAATATTTTAATATTCAAATAAAAATTCCCAACTCTTTTTTTTCCTTATAAAGTTACAAAGAATTTTTTACAGTTAATTAGCATTCATTTTTAGTGGCTTTAAATATATTTTTAAATTTTACATTGAAAATATGTTAATTTTTCTTCCATTAAAAATAAACTGAAAAAATATAGGTATAATAATGAAATATTTTTTTAAAATAAAATAATTCTTGGAAAAATGTTTCAGATTATTATCAAAGTTAACTTTAAGTGGAGATTAAAATAATGAATCAAAAAAAAATAAATAAAATAAATGCAGATTGGAAAAATTTTGTAGATTTTAAGGATTTTTAACGTAAAATTTTAGTGAAGTCTAAAAAGTAAAAATATAAAATTAGAATAAAAAACATTATATTTGAATTAAAAAAATTTACATAAAATAATAAATAGATAAAAAATAAAATTTTAAATAAAATTATAAAAATTAAAATAGAAAAATTAAAAAATTAAAAAAAATGAATAAACTTCTACTTGTCGTAATCTTGTAAGTTTTTAGCGTTAATTTTTAGGGGAGAATAAAAAATAAAATATAAAATTAGAATAAAAAAATTCAATTTGGAAAAATTTTATAGATTTTCAAAATTAATTTTTAGTGGAGACTAAAAAATATTTATTATAAGAATGAAAAACATCCAAATTGGAAAATCTTGTAGATTTTATCCACTTTTAGTGGAGATCAAAAAATAAAATAAAAAAATATTCGAAATACTATTAGGCAAATTTTTGTAAATTTTCAGCCTCAACTTTTTAGCAAAAACTATCAACGTCATCAACTATCAACTTTAAAATAGTTTCCAAAATCAAATTCTCGAAAAAAAATTTTTTTTAATTAAAAAAAATTTGAATAATAAATAAAATATAATTTAAAAAAATAATTTTAATAAATTCCCCACCCAGCACACAATAAGTCCTTTTATCATTGTGCTTCAATCCGCGCTTTTAAATTCACACACGGCTAAAAACTTGAAAATCCATTTCTCTTGAATTTCTCGAATTTTGTGATTCTCTCACGCTGGTCACAATAATTATAATTATTACTGTAAACTTTCTTGGACATGTAGACGCGTCTACTTAAATTTATATAATATAATATAATGCTCTTACTCTGATATGAGCGATATAACGAACGTTATTTTATAATAAAAATAGGCGATCTCAATGACGGTTGTAGACTCGTGACGATAAACACTAAAAAAATTATCATTATTGGGACTAGATTTTATTTTCATTTTTGACTAGCGCAAAAAAGTGCGTAGACAATTTTCTTCTCTTACTTTGTACACGAAATAATATTGATCGTGTCGAATTTTTTGTTTGTAAATAATTCGTTTATATATGTATAGTTACTATTTACTTTTTTTCATATAGTATTATATTAATATTAATTAAATTAATATTATAGTATTAATAAAAATTACATTAATTAATTAATATTATTATTATATTAATATTAATTACATTAATATTAATCTTATAAAAATAATATTAATAATATTTTTATTAATATTAATTAAAATTGATTAATGATTAACATTGATTAACATTAATCAATGTTAATTAATATTTAACAGTAATTAATATTAAGAGATAATATTAATTACTTTAATGATAAAAATAATATTAATTAATTAATATTAATACGAATATTAAAAGATTTTGGAAAAAAATCTTTTCTTCGATATGATCAATATTAATTTTTTCACAAAGACTTTTTTTTATTAATATTATTATTATTCTTTCTGTTAATATTTGCACTTTTTTTTAAAAAAAAATGTGCAATGGAATGAGTTTCTTCAATATATTTTCAAGCCAGTGAAGTAACTCATTCTTTTTTTCTTTGTTATATATTATTTTTTATTCTGTTTTGTTTCTCTCTCTTTTTCTTCTTTTTTTTTTTGGTTGTCTGTGCGGACAAGTTTGTTGACTGGCGCGAAATTCTTTTAGGACATCGTTAAAAGTTTTTCATGTCGAATTTCGAAAGCGACCAGTTTGCTGGTCGAACCACTGACTCGACATGGAGGTCAGCAATTTTGTGGTACCGAACGAAAGAAACGAAGGTCCCTCTTCATCCTTTATCGGAGAACTCTTCGCGCCCTTCGTCGCCTAAAATTATGTTTGGTATTGAAGCATCGGTGCAGCAAGGTTCGGATGATGTGCTGTATTCATTCTCAGGGCTGAGATACTTTTATTGTACCATTCGTCCTCGGCAGACATTCCTACAAAAAAAGAAAATATTTTGCGTTAAAAAATAATCTTGTATTTTAATTAAAAATTAATGTTAATGAAATTTAAAAAAAATTAATTAGTTTAATTTAATATCATAAACTCCAGCAGTTGACACAAAAATTTAATTTTGTCTTTCCCTGATTTCCAAGGAAGAATTTTGCCTTTTTCCTGGCCAGAAAATAATATTCTGATTCAATCTAAAAATTATTAGTTCCTTAAAAAATGTTTTATTTCAAATAAACATTCAATTATTATTATTTTTTCAGAGAAATTAAGTTTTTTAAAAATTTCAAATTCACATCTTTTGAAATTTAAAAACTTATAAGAAAATTATTATAAAACATGAAGATATCGATTGCTCCGAGTCTTCGACTCGGAGTAATCCGTTTCTTCGTGTTTTATATTAATTGAAGATAATCGAGTAATAAAATCATTATTTTATATTATAAAATATTGTTCCTGTAACAAAAATAAATAATTTATTGTATTATTTATTTTTAATTTCTTAAAATTTCTTAAAATTGAATTTCCATAAAGAATTTTATCAACAAATTTTTAAATAACTGAATTCTTTTGACAGAATTTAGAAAAAAAATTTAAGAATAATTAGGTAAATTTTTCTGACGAATTCGATTAAAATTGTTTTCAAAATAATTGAAATTCTACACTGAGTGTTATTATTTATGTGATTAATTGAATTCCTAACAAGAATTTTATTATTTATCGTGAATAAAATTGAATCCACTGTAAAAGTTTATTATGTATGAAAATAATTGAATTATTGCAAAGAAATTTATAAAAAAAATTGTAAATAATTAAAATCCTGTGAAATTTTTATTATTTATGAAAAGAATTAAATGTTTGCGTAAAATGTTATTAAAAATTTTTATTTTTTAAATAGTTGTATACTTTTGGAAAATTTTGTTAAAATATCAGATATTGAAAATCATTGAATCATTTCTGCGATGAGTTTTATTATTTTTAGGAAAATAATTGAATTCGTAAAAAAATGTTATAATTTTATAAAAATAATTGAATTCCTGAGAAACATTTTAATATTTATGGAAAATAAATTAAATTCTTATAATAATAAATAATAATTAATAATTGAATTCTTGATTGAATTTTATAAAACTTTTTTCAAAAATAGAATTTCACTGAAAATTTTTTTATAAATTTGTAAATAATTGATTTTTTCGAAAAATTTTATGCAAATTCGATTTTAAATAATTGAATTCTTGTGAAATTTATATTATTTATGGAAAATAATTGAATTCCTGAGAAAAATTTTAATATTTGTGGGAAATAATTGAATTCTTGAGAAGAATGTTATAAAATTTTAAAGAAATTGAATTTCACTGAAAAATTTTATTATTTGTGAAAATAATTGAATATCTGTGAAGAATTTTAATATTTGTGTAAAATAATTAAATTCTTTAGAAGAATTTTATAAAATTTTAAAAAAATTGAATTTCACTGAAAATTCGATTTTAAATAATTGAATTCTTGTGAAATTTATATTATTTATGGAAAATAATTGAATTCCTGAGAAAAATTTTAATATTTGTGGAAAATAATTGAATTCTTGAGAAGAATGTTATAAAATTTTAAAGAAATTGAATTTCACTGAAAAATTTTATTATTTGTGAAAATAATTGAATATCTGTGAAGAATTTTAATATTTGTGAAAAATAATTGAATTCTTTAGAAGAATTTTATAAAATTTTAAAAAAATTGAATTTCACTGAAAATTCGATTTTAAATAATTGAATTCTTGTGAAATTTATATTATTTATGGAAAATAATTGAATTCCTGAGAAAAATTTTAATATTTGTGGAAAATAATTGAATTCTTCAGAAGAATGTTATAAAATTTTTAAAAAATTGAATTTCACTGAAAAATTTTATTATTTGTGAAAATAATTGAATTTCTGTGAAGAATTTTAATATTTGTGAAAAATAATTGAATTCTTTAGAAGAATTTTATAAAATTTTTAAAAAATTGAATTTCACTGAAAATTCGATTTTAAATAATTGAATTCTTGTGAAATTTATATTATTTATGGAAAATAATTGAATTCCTGAGAAAAATTTTAATATTTGTGGAAAATAATTGAATTCTTCAGAAGAATGTTATAAAATTTTTAAAAAATTGAATTTCACTGAAAAATTTTATTATTTGTGAAAATAATTGAATTTCTGTGAAGAATTTTAATATTTGTGGAAAATAATTGAATTCTTTAGAAGAAATTTATAAAATTTTTAAAAAATTGAATTTCACTGAAAATTCGATTTTAAATAATTGAATTCTTGTGAAATTTATATTATTTATGAAAATAATTGAATATTTGCGTAGAATTTTATTAATTTTTTCTTTAAATAATTGAATTATTCTAGAGAAATTTTATAAAAAAATAGTAGGTATTGCAAATCATTGTCATCTGCGTAAAATTTTAAAAAATTAATTGAATTATGTCGAAAAATTTTGCTATTTATAAAAATAATTGAATTTTTTACGAGAATTTTTAATAAAATTTCTTAAATAATTTAATTTCTACCAAGAATTTTATTACTTTTGAAAATAATTGAATTCTTGTGATGATTATTGTTATTTACGAAAATAATTGAATTTTGCATAACATTTTATTAACATTCTTCAAAATAATTGAATTTCTAGAAGAATTCTGCTTTTTATCAAGATATTTGAATTCTTTGGAAAAATTGCCTTAAACTTTTAAAAATTGAAAAAATTTAAGCTTACTAATTTATTAGTAAAATTTATCAATTTTTAGTAAAATATCACTTTTGTTTAGTTGTTTTAGCTTTGCTTTATTAAATTTATAGTAAAAAATGATTTTTCTATAGTAAAAAAATTCACCAATTTTTAATATTTTGTTTTGTAAATTTGCTTACTAAATTTTTAGTAAAAAATTGTTTATTATTCTTTATAAATTATTTATTATTTATATAGGTATATTTGTCTAATTATAATTAAATTGTAACAAAATTATTACATATTGTTTAATTTACGCCCGACTAAACTTGTCCTTTACTACTGAAACATTAATAATGTCTGACTCAAATAATTGTTTACTTTTAAATAAATATTTCAAGAAAATAATGTTTAAACTTATTATTAGCTTTTGCATTAAAATTTATACAAAGTTAATAAGAATATAAATTTTATATTATTTCACTATTTGAAGCAAATACCATTTAATTGATTCAATTAAAAATTATTTGATTCAAGTAAATATTTATTTGACTTGAAAATTTCATTTCGTTGACTAGTTGACCCTATAATATTATCAAATGAGTGTGGAGCAAAAAGAAATAAAAAAAAAATAAATAAAAAAACACGAAAGAGAAAAAAAAGAAACGGAAACGGAGCGAATCTGTGAAACGTTTCTGGGCACGAAAATCGCTTGCTTCAAGACGCTCCATTTCCGCTAAAGCGCCGTCTTACATCATTTCCGGCGCAAGATGGGAATATCGCTTCTAAATCGAATCAAGACTATTCGCGAATTGCCTATCGACTTCTCTTCGGCACTTTACGATCAACGTCGTCGGGATATCTGCTTTCATCAACGATTTACCGTCGATTAATCATTTCATCTTCCATCAGACGGATCATAAAATTTAATTTTTACACCATTTTATTTTGATCTATTCATTAATAAAATCATTTCCGTACATTTTATTATATATAGAGAGATAGATAGAACATTGAAATTGAAATTGAAACTTTTTAAATTTTTAGAAAATAAAGGAGAAATTTTTACTCAAAAAAATCTTCTGTTTCATTTATTTACAAATTTCTTTTAAATTATTCGAAAACATCTTGAACTTCTATTTTAAATAAATATTTAATTATTATTTTTCCATAGGAATTAAAATACTTCAAAAAATTCAAATTCAATCCTTATTAAAATTAAACAACTTATAAAAAATTTTTATAAAACATAAAGAAATCGATCACTCCGAGTCTTCGACTCAGAGCAATCGATCTCTTCATGTTTTATAATAATAATTAAAGATAACCGAGTAATAAATTCATTATTTTATATTATAAAAAAATTGTTATACTGTATGTAACTTCTTAAAAATTATTTTTATTATTTTAATTCAATTATTATTTTCTAGAATTTTTAATTATTTTTTATAAAAAATAATTCAATTTCTTAAAAAAAATGTTATTATTTATGAAAATAATTAAATGTTTGCAAACAATTTTATTAAATTTTTTTTAAATAATAAAAAATAATGGAAAAAAATAAATTTTTAAATAAATAATAATCAAACCGATTATTTGATTCATTTAAGTATTTTTTTGCTTTAAAAAATAATTATTACGATTAAAAATTATTTTTGTGTCTCATTGCAAATAAAAAAAACTACAAGTAAAATATTTGTCGAAACGTTGAAATTGTGTTTTTATTATTTTAATATTTGACTTGGAGGATTGATAATTTTCTTGATATTTTATACAAATAAAATAATTTTCATAACAATATTTTGTCGCATTCTACACTCAATTTTAATAAAACCCCATAACATTTTTGCAATTTTTTTTACATTTTTTATAATTTCATGCTTTTTTTTATCGTTTTTTCTAAAAATTCATGCGATTTTTTCGGAAATTTCATGCGACTTTTCGTGACTTTTGTTGTAAATTTATGCGACTAAAGAGACTTTTTTTTGGGTCTTATAGTCGATCCGAGCCCTGAGTTTTTTTTATAATTTAATTAAATTAATTTAATTAAGGTGAGTATAATTATAATCTTACCCATTGCATCTTGTCGCATACCAGTAACTGCAGACATATTAGACGCTGAATGCGACATCGAGAAGGGTTGAGTCATGCTTGGATATGATGTCGTTCCCATCTGAAAAAATAGAAAATTTTTTACATCACAGATTTTTTTATGATTGGAAAAATTTTCCTTGTTTTTTTTTAAATAAATGGAAGATTTATCAATTAGTATTGATTATCTTATAGAACTTGAAAAAATGAAATTTACCAGTTTTCTCACTATTGCCCTCGATGAATTTAAATGCAATGCCTGACTAAATCTATTTTTTACTACTGTGGTGAATTTTGCAATTTAATTAAATACGGTCTTTACTACTGAAAGTGAAATTGTCTGACCAAATATATTTGTTACTACTTAAATTCCAACTGAAAAAGCATTGTCTGACCAAAACCATTTTTTACTACTTAAATTTCAACTAAAAAAGGCATTGAATGACTAAATCCATTTGTTACTACTTAAATTTCAACTAAAAACGTTTTGTCTGACTAAATTCATTTGTTACTACTGAAACTTTAATAAAATCACAATGTTTGACTAAATCTATTATTTACTACTTAAATTTCAACTAAAAAGGCATTGTCTGACTAAATCCACTTGTTACTACTTAAACATAAACTAAAAAAGCATTGTCTGACTAAATATATCTACTACTACTGCAACTATAATTAGAAAAAGAATGTCTGACTAAAATCCATTCGTTACTACTTAAATTGTATAAAAAATCATGGTCTGACTAAATCTATTTGTAACTACTTAAATTTTAATTAAAAAAAGGTATATAATAGCAATGTCTGATTAAATTCATATTTTACTATACTGAAATTACAACTAGAAAGGCAGCATTATTTAAAAAATAAAAAACAGATTAAAATTTCGTCTCCGTTGCGAAAACAAATTTTGAGTCCCGCATTAAAGAAAAAAAAGAACACCTTTAATAAACGTAAGGAAAAAAACAATTTATCCTGGAAAATATCGAGAGTTATGGTCTCTGTATTGAAATCTAATTAAATGGGTAGCAGATGCAAGATTTTTGCTGGTGGTTTCGACATTAGGTAGAAATTATTGGTTCAATTGATACGATAGGCATTCGGTTATCTATCCGACCCAACTAATTAGTCGAAATGCAATTTACCCGAGCCGGTGAACGGCTACGCAGACTCATATGTAGATACCTACATACGTACAGGTGCACTCCAATTTGATACCTTGGTTTAAATCATTAACGAGAAACGCATTCAATTCATTTGCTCGTTCTACATGTTCCGGGATTTCTCTATCCGGTACCCAGGACCTTGTATATTATATATGTACTAAAACCTATACATTAATAGAAATAAACCCTTAAATATTCATAAAAATCGAAATCAATATTTATTATTTAACCAAAAGCGAAATTTCTTTTAAAGATTTATGATTAAGTAGTACTAGCAAATACTAAAATAAATAAGGCTACGTCTGACTAAACTATCATTGTACTACTGAAAAATTAGTTTTATAGCCTCTACCTTACTAAATTTATTTTTCTATACTGAAAAATTTCTGGAATAGAAATTAAATCCCGTCTTCTACTACTTAAAAAGCATAATTTAAGAATCGTTTATTAATTAATTTCTTAAAATCACAGTATAACGTAGTGAGGTGTTAAAATAACGCCAGAATGGATTAAAATAATGTGCAACAGTTTAATCCCTCTAGGATTAAATTAACACCAGAAAGGATTAAAATAATCTATTTTGGTGTTATTTTTAACTATGAATAAAATATTACTTTAAATGTTGAAGAACAAGCGTATTGTTGTATTGTACTTTGTACTTACTTACTTAATAAATTTCAATAAAATATTACTTTAAATAAAACACCAAAGTTAACGATTTGTAAAAATTCAAGGAATTTATCTTCTTCAGGAAGAATAGTAAGTTAGTAAGTTAGTAACATATTTACTAAATTCAATTGTGTTTAAAAATTAAAAAAAAAATTCTTGTCAAAATTTCAATTCTCTTTATAAATAATAATATTCTTCTCTGATATTCAATTATTTTACAAAATTTTAATCAAATTCTTGTCAAAATTTCAATTATTTTCAAAAGTTTTCTAAAATTCAATGATTTTCTATATCTACTATTTCAATAAAATTTTCCAAAAGAATTCAATTATTAAAAAAAATTTGAATAAAATTCTACGCAAACATTCAATTATTTTCATAAATAATAAAAATTTTTTACAAGAATTCAATTATTTACAATTTTTTTTATAAATTTCTTAGCAATAATTCAATTATTTTCATAAATAATAACTTTTTTACAGGGATTCAATTATTTTTATAAATAATAAAATTCTTTTAGGAATTCAATTATTTCCATAAATAATAAAACTCATTGCAGAATTTCAATTATTATTTATTTTTAATGCAATTTTAATCGAATTCCTCGAAAAATGTAATTATTCTTAAAAATTTTATTAAAATTCGTCCAAAGAATTTAATGATTTAAAAAATTTGTTGATAATATTTTTTTTTGAGAATTTAATTTCAAGAAACATGAAATTAATAAATTATTTATTTTTGGATTTAAATAATTTAATTCTCGTAGAATTTACTAATAAAAATGGTTTTAAAAATGAATTTCGGTTAAAATTTTAAATTACAATTAAATATTAAAAGCATTATAACGTTGATTTTTAGAAATAATTAAGTTTTGAAAAAGTTTCAAACTAAAATCATTAAAATTCTTAATTTTTCATATTTTTGACAAACAATTCTGTAGAATTAATTTATTTTAAAAGTTGAACAGGATTTTTATTGAAATTATTTCAAGTTTTTATTTTTCAATATATATTTAATTGCAGAATTTCCGAAAAATTGTATTGTAAACGAATGAATTTGAAAATTCTCAAAGAACTTTTTTAATATTTATTAAAAATAATAGATTTATTGAAGAATTTTAGTTAAAAAGACTAGAAAAAAATTTAATTTTAGAGAAGTTACAAATTATTGCAGAAATTCAGTTATTTTCAAGAGTAATAAAATTCTTAAGGATTCAATTATTTTTACTAATAATAAAACTCATCGCAGCGTTTCAATTATTTTTCATGCAATTGTAATTGTATTCCTTGAAAAAAGTAATTATGTTCAATGCAAGTTTTAATAAAATTTTGCAAAAGAATTTAATTATTTAAAAATTTGTTATAAAATTCTTTATTAGAATTGAATTTTGAGAAACATTCAATAAATTATTTACTTTTGCATTTAAATAATTAAATTCTTGAAGAATTTCTAATAAAAATTAATTTAAAAATGAATTTTAGTTAAAATTTTAGATTATAATTGTAATTGAATATTAAAAGCAATATAAAGTGAATTTTTAGAAATAATTGAATTTTGAAATTAATTTTTTTGAAAAAGTTTAATTGAATTTTGTTTTATATTATTTGAAGGTTTTATTTTCTAATATGCATTTAATTAAAGAATTTAGGAATAATTGAAATTCCGTGAAATTGAATATTGTAAACAAATGGATTTGAAAATTGCCAAAGAACTTTTTCGAAAATTATTAAAAATAATAATTGATATAAGGTAAAATTTTAATACATGAAGATATCGATTGCTTCGAGTCGAAGACTCGGAGTTATCGATATCATCATGTTTTATAATTATAAAAAATTTAATGAACTAAAATTTCATTCATTTGTAAAAAATAACACCAAAATTGATTATTTTAATCTTTTTTGGTGTTAATTTAATCTGCAACACTTTTTAATACCTCACGATTTACTGTGACTATAATATCAATTAATTACTCTTCATTAATTTTAATTAGTTTCAATTTAAAATTAAAAGTACCTAATCGTAATTATAATTACAATTAAAGTATTTTTTGTAAATTAATTAAGAAATTAAAATTAACTGAAATAAATAAAAATTAATTAAGTTAATCTTTAATATAATATTTACTAATATTACAATATTTATTAGAATAAAGATAAACTCAATTAATTTTGATTTATTTCAATTAATTTTAATTTCTTAATTAATTTGCAAAAAAGACCTTGTCTTTGAATACATATTTCTCCGCAAGCAAAACTGGTAAAATTTCATTATTCCAGTTATCAATATCAATTTCAAGAAATCCTATTTAAATTCATGCAATATGAGAAAATACAAAAAATAGGTATCTCAATTTTAAAGAAAAGAAAAAAAAGAAATGCAAGAGGAAAAAGAAGAAACTAAATATTTAATTGGACTTTTAAGCTGACCTGGGGGTAACGATTTATTCCGTTTATACTGTTGTGTGGGTGGGGATAGGGTTGATAACCTCTGCCAGCACCGGGGTAAATGTTCCTCATCATAGCTCCCTGACAGGCGGGAATTGGTGCAAGAGCTTTTTGCAGTTGTTTTTCCTGTTTCCTGTACTTCGCCCTCCTATTTTGAAACCAGACCTGCAAAAAGAAGGCGTAACAACTCATTAATATATAGACGTCTTAATAAAATTTAAAACCAGAATTCTGTCGGAGGAAAAATTTAAATTTTGTACATAACGAAAATGCAATGTCTGACAAAATTCGTCTTTTACTACTGTAACATATACGCTTATAAAGGGAGATTACTTAATAAGTTAATTTCATATTTATTAAGTTTATTATCATTAAGTTGTATATTAAAATAAATAAAATATGATAATATGACTTGTCTGACTCAGTATGTTTGTCACTACTGAAACTTTAACAGAATCAAAATGTCTGACTAAAACCATTTGTTACTACTTAAATTTTTACTGAGAAGCCTTGTCTGACTACATTCATATCTTGCTACTTAAATTTTAACTAAAAAGGCATTGTCTGACTAAATCCACTTGTTACTACTTAAACCTAAACTAAAAAAGCATTGTCTGACTACATCCATCTGTTACTACTAAAACTTTAATAAAATCACAATGTTTGACTAAATCCATTATTTACTACTCAACTTTTAAATAAAAAGTCATTGCCTGACTAAATCCGTTTGTTACTACTTAAATTTCATCTAAAAAGCATTGCCTGACTACATCCATCTGTTACTACTGAAACTTTAATAAAATCACAATGTTTGACTAAATCCATTATTTACTACTCAACTTTTAAATAAAAAGTCATTGCCTGACTAAATCCGTTTGTTACTACTTACATTTTATCTAAAAAGACATTGTCAGACTAAATCCATCTGTTACTACTTAATCTTTATAACTAAAGAAGCATTGTCTGACTAAATTCATTTTTACTACTTAAACCTTAACAAAAATAGCATTGTCTGACTAAATTCATCTATTATCACTGCAACTATTAATTAAAAAAAGATGCCCTACCCACTTGTTACTACTTAAACTTTAAATTAAAATAGCATTGTCCGACGAAATTCATTTCTTACTACTGAAACTGTAATTTTTCTCTTAAAAGAACGGTAAAAAAATGAAATTAACTTTTTTTTTAAGTTAAAGGTATCGATAACGGAAACGAGAATATCGCCATTTTGTATCGGTCAATTTCCATTGTTTCGCGGGATTAGTAAACCCATAATGGGGTTGCCCGAAATACCACCACCATAAACCCACCCTCTTTTGCGACCCCTCATATCCAGAGAGAGAGAGAGAGAGAGAGAAAGAGAGTGAGAGAAAAGCCTGCGGCTTTCGCCGGCAAAGAGAGGATCGACGAGGGTGTCCACCACCGCGATTACGTCACTGGTGCACCACTATTGGCCAGTAACAGGCGCCTGACGTCACTTCGCGCCCTCTCATTGGCCAACACGTTTTATCGACATTTCCATCCACCCCGGAGTAGCTGCAGGGAACACACAGAAGCATGGCGTTTCAAAACGAGTCGCCGCTTCGCTAAATATCTGCAATGATTTTCATTCCTTGGCAAAAGAACGTCGTACGCAGAGCAAAAAAAAATGTTGGAAAAAAATTAGAAAAAAAATTTATAATAAAAAAATTAAGAGTAAAAAATGTAATATTAGATAAAGATAAAAAAATAGCACGATTTTTGCGCAATTTCAAAAAGAAATTTATTTATATACTGTTGTGAAGAAACATTCTCATTTTATTTTATTTCGTTCTTCAGGGTTGTCACAAAAATTAAATTTCGTTTTTCCCTGATTTCCAGACAAAATTTTGACTTTTTGCCTGACCAGAAAATAATATTCTGATTCACTCTAAAAATGATTGAATGCTGAAAAAAATGTTCTAATACATTTATTTACGAATTTCTTTAATTGTAAAATTATTCAAAAACATCAACAACTTCTTTTTTAAATAAATATTTAATCATTGTTATTTTTCAGTAGGAATTAAAATTCTTCAAAACATTCAAATTCAAACCTTTTTGAAATTCAACAACTTATAAGAATATTATTAGAAAACATGAAAAAGTTGAACACTCCGAGTCTTCGACTCGGAGTAATCGATTTCTTCATGTTTTTATAATAATTAAAAATAACCCATTGAATTAATAATAAAATAGAATTAATTCTACGCAGAATTGTTAATTAAAAGTACGAAAAATTCTAATTTTCAAAGATTTGAATTCGAAATCTTTTCAATTATTTCTAAATATTCCCCCGTAATGGTTTTAATATTTAATTATTATCTAAAATTTTAACTGAAATTATTCATTTTTCAATCGATTTTTATTAGAAAATTCTACGAGAATTCAATTATTTAAATACAAAAATAAATAATTTATTCAATAATTGAATGTTTCTGAGAATTTAATTTTTGCAAAGAATTTTATTAACAACTTTTGGAAATAATTAATTTCTTTTAAGGAATTTAATTAAAATTTTACTGAAATTTATCATTTTAAAGAATTTTATAACAATTTTTGAAAATAATTGAAAGCTTTTTGAAGAATTTGATTAAAATTTTTTAAAATAATTGAACTCCTGAAAAGAATTTAAATAATAATTTATGAAAATAATTGAATTCATGCGAAGAATTTTAATTAGCTTTCGTTTAAATAATTGAAATTTTGCTAAGAATGTTATTAAAATTTCTGACAATAATTTAATTCTTGAGAAGAATTTCGCTCTCTATTTATAAAAAAGGTAATTTAATTCTTAACGGGAATTTTTTAAAAATTTTGAAAATAATTTAATTTTTGGAAAGTATTATAGTTTTCAAAAGAATTGAATTCTTATGATGAATTTTGATATTTATCGAAATAATTGAATTTTAGAAAAGAATTTGAATAAAATTCCTTAAAATAATTGATTTTATGTGGAAAACTTTGTTGTTTATCAAGATAATTGAATTCATTTGCAGAATTACTTAAAAATTTTGGAAATAAATAATTTCCTGTGACGAATGAAAAGTTATTTATGATAAAATAATTGAATTATTGCAACAAATTTTATTATTTTATTGAATAATGGAATATTTCTAAAATTTTAATTTATTTAAATCTTGAATTTATTTCAAATTTTATTAAAAATATTGGAAATTCTGCGATAAAAATAATTGAATTCCTAAAAGAAATTTTATCATTTATGAAAATAATTGAATGTTTTCGTAGAATTGTAACAAAAATTTTGTTCAATAATTAAATTATTTGATAAATTTTATGAAAATAGTAAATATTGAAAATCATTGAATTGCGAAAAACTTTTTAAAATAATTGAAATTTTACAAAAAACTTTATTTAAATTTTTGAAAATAATTGAATTTTTGTCGAAAAATTTTACTATTTATAAAGATAATTTAATTCTTGACGAGAGATTTGTTCAAATTTTTAAAAATAATTGAATTTCTTCGAAGAATTTTATTACTTTTGAAAATAATTGAATTCTTGCGATAAATATTGTTATTTATGAAAATAATTGAATTTTGTAAAGAATTTTTTTTTAATTCCTAAAAATAATTGAATTTTTGTAAAGAATTTTGTCATTTATCAAGATAATTGCATTAAAATTTTTGAAATAATTAAATAATATTAAAAAATTCATTCTGGTCAGAATTTTTAACTTTGACTGGAGGAAAATTGAAGTCAGGAGTTAAATTAAATCCTTTAATATTATTATTTCGGTTAAAAACTTTTATTTAAATGAAATAAATATTTATGAAGAAAAACTTTTTTTTATTCTTTTATTACTATTTTTCTTTCTATTTATTCTTAATTTTTAATTATTTAATTCGTTTTATTTTCCTGATGAATATATATTTTATATATTATTCATCTTTTAATTTATTATTATCATTTATCTTATTTTTATTATTATTATTATTATTATTATTATTATTATTATTAGTATTATTATTAGCATTATTATTATTATTATTTTTTTTTTTTATTATTTTTATTATTGTTGATTTTGTTGTTATTTTATGATCCCTATTTTATATAGAATTTCAAGGGATATTAAATTTTAGTAAAAGATTAGCAAGTTTTTAAAAAAAGGACAAAAAAGTCTTTTACATTATAAAACAGTAAATTTTTAATGCAGCATTTCTATTGGTAAAAGAAAGACTTTTTTTCTTCTTCCAAGAAGTAACTTTCTTTTTTTTTCTTTTTTTGTAGTACGTACTTCCGTGTCCATGAAAGAGCGCCCTTACAAGAATCGGAAAGCTAAGAGTTCGCAATTTAATAAACGTTTTCCCCTTGGATCTTTCTACTCTTATATACTTTTATCCTTCGACGCCATTATTTATGGAGGTCAACCAAAATAAAATGGAAGAAAAAGAAAGTTGACTGATGAAAATAACTGACGTGAATACTGAAAAACATGTCTAGCTTTTTAAAAGAATTGTGCAAAATAAAATTTATTATATAATCACTGACATTTTTATTTACGAATATTTAGAAACTAAGAATTTTTAACTTATTTTTTACGTATTTCATTTAATTTCTTTCTTACTCCTTTTTTCTATTTAGGTACTTTTTATTCATTTTTCTATTTTTTCTTTCTTTTATCTATTTTGATCTTTTTATCAATTTTTCTATTTTTTTTTCTTATCTAGCTATTTTTACATTTTTTTTTCTATTTCTTTTCGATTTTTCAATTTTTATTTTACTTTTTTAATTTCTTTATTCTCCACGTAAGACAAACAGAAAATTAGGTCCCTGTATTTATGAGTATAGTAAATTATTCAGTAGAAAATTCGATATTTGGTCAGACAAATAGAAGATTAAGTTATTCCGTGTAACTAGCATTAAATTATTTAGTAGAATATCCAGTATTTAGTCCGCCAAATACAAGATTATGGTCCGTCTAGCCAGCATTAAATTATTGAGTAGAAAAATAAATATTCAGTCAGGCAAGTAATCAGACGAATTAATTTCGCTATAACTGCATAGTTTTTTAAAGATATCAAATTGAGACAAAAAAACGTATCAAAACGTTGCTTCGCAACTATTTTGATACGTTTTTTGTCTCAATTTGATATCCTTAAAAAAATTGGATTTGACACATA